CCAGCAGCTCCACTTCTCATCCAGCTCCCTGCCTGTGGCCTGGGAAAGCAGTCGAGGACGGCCCAAAGCTTTGGGACTCTGCACCTGTGTGGGAGACCTGGAGCAAGTTCCTGGCTCCTGGCTTCAGATTGGCTTAGCTCTCACCGTTGTGGCCCCTTGGGGAGTGAACCATTGGACAGAAGATCTTCCTCTCTGTCTCTTCTTCTCTCTGTATATCTGCCTTTCCAATAAAAATAAATAAATCTTTTTAAAAAGTTGCTTTGAGTAGTACATTCTGACAGTATCTGAACATGGGAGATCTCTTGTTTTTCCATCTTCTGTCAATATTTTTGTGATTTTCAGTACAGATATCATTTACATCCACGGTTAGTATTTCCTAGATTGTTTTGTATTTCCTGGGCAGATACTATGAATATAATATATAACTTACTTTCTTTTTCAACAACACAATTGGGGCGAGCACCATGGCATGGCAGGTAAAGCTGTACCTATTATAGCTGTTGTTTTGAGATTTTGCTGTTGCACTTCTGATCTAGCTCCCAGATAATGCACCTAGGAAAGCAGTTAAAGATATGCAAATGCTTGGACCTCAATACCACATGGCAGATCCAGAGGAACCTCCTGACTTCTGGCTTCAGATTGGCTCAGCTCTGGCCATTGTGGTTGTTTGTGGAGTGAACCAGGGGAAGGAAGAGCACTCTCTCCCTCTTTCTCTCTTTAACTCTGCGTTTCAAATAATAAGTGAATATTTTCAAAAACAAACACAGCTGATTTTTGCATGTTGCTTTTATGTCCTAAAAACCTTACTGAATTAATGACATTTTTATTAAAGTGATTTAAGATGTCCAATATAGTAAGCTTCTTGATTTTTCAATGTCTTCTATTTTTTTTTAAGTTTTATAGTTTTTATCAGAGGTCTTCCACATATTTAGTTAGCTTAATTCCTAGGTTTTGAAGATTCCTCTCTGCTATTTTAAAGGGGACTGTACTTACAATTTCTTTCTCAGCCATGGAATTATTTGTATACACTAGGGCCACTGATTTGTGTTCATTAATTTTGTAACCTGCTACCCTGTCAAAGTCTCTTATGAGTTCCAGTAGTCTCTTGACTGAGTTTTTTGGTTCTTCTTTGTAGAGAATCATGTCATCTGCAAATAGAGATGATTTCAGTTCCTCACTTCTGATTTGAATTCCTTTAATTTCTTTTTCTTGTCTAATAGTTCTGGCAAGGGCTTCCAATACTATATTGAAGACTAGTGATGGCAGTGGACATCTATGTCTAATTCTAGATTTTAGTGGAAAAGCTTCCAATCTTTCCTCATTTAGTTTGATGCTGTCATTGACTTTTTTGTAAATTGCTTTGATTGTGTTGTAGAATATACTTTCTATGCCTATATTGCTTTAAGTGGTGTTGGATTTTATCGAATCTACTGAGAGGACCATATCGTTTTTATTTTTTAATTTGTTGACCTGATATATCACATTTATTTATTTGTGAGCGTTGAACCATCCCTGCATGCCTGGAATGAATCCCACCTGGTCTGTGTGGATGATCTATCTGACATACTGTTGGATCCTTTTGGCTAGTATTTTGTTGAGGATCTTTGTTTCTATGTTCATCAAGGAGATCGATCTGTAGTTCTCTTTTTCTGTTGTTTCTCTATCTGGCTTTGGTATTAAGATAATATTGGCTTCATAGAAAGAGTGTGGAAGGATTTCCTCCCTTTCTATCGTTTGGAAAAGCTTTTTTAGGATGGGGGTAAATTCCTCTTAAAATGTTTGGTAGAGTTCAGCAGTGAAACCATCTGGTCCAAGACTTCTTGGCTGGGAGGGTTTTAATCACTGATTCAATCTCTGTGCATGCTGTAGGTCTATTTAGCTTGTTAATTGTTTCTTCATTCAATTTTGGTGGATTGTATGTTCTTGGGTCAGCAGGATCTACATCATCAAAATGTCCATATTGCCAAAAGTAATATATGGATTCAACACAATGCCAATCAAAGTCCCAACAATGTTCTTCTCAGAAATAGAAAAGAAGATACAATAGTTCATCTGGATACACAAGAGACCACAAATAGCCAAAGCTATACTAAAGAATAAAAATCAAGCTGGAGGAATCACAATTCCAGACCTCAAGACATACTACAGAGCAGTGGTTATCAAAGCAGTCTGGTGCTGATACAAAAATACAGAATATCAATGGAACGGAACAGAAACACCAGAAGGGAACCCACATATGTATAGACAACTAATCTTTGAAAAGAAAACTGAATACAATCCACAGAAAAAGCCTGGTCTCTTCAACAAATGCCGTTGGGACAACTGGATAGCAGCTTGCAGAATAAAGAAGCAAGACCTGCACCTGTCACATTATACAAAAATCAGCTCTAAATGGTTCAAGGACTTGAATCTACACCCAGAAATCATCAAAATATCAAAAGAAAACATAGGAAGCACTCTCCAAGATATAGGAATGGAGAAAGACTTCTTAGAAAAGATGCCAAAAGCACAAGCAGTCAAAGACAAAATAAGCTCTTGGGACTATATTTAAAAAAAAAAAAAAGCTCCATATAACAAAGGAAGCACAAAGTAAAGAAGCAACCAACAGAATGGGAGAAAATCTTTGGGCACTATAAAAATGATAGCAGACTAATATCCAGGGTTTAAAAAGAGCCTCAGAAACCCAGGGACATTAAAAAAAAAAACTGTAAAAAATGGGCAACAGAAATGAACATTTTTCAAAAGAATAGACTCAAATGGCTAAATGACATATGAGAAGATACTCAGGCTCCCTAGCCATTAGGGAGATACAAGTGAAAAGCACATTGAGGTTCCACCTAACTCCAGTGAAGTTGGCCTACATTCAGAACTCTACAAATAGCACCTGCTGGTGTGAATGTCAGGAGAAAGTTACCCTCCTTCACTGCTGGTGGGAGTGCAGGCTAGTACAACCACTTTGGAATTCAGTATGGAGAGTGCTTAGAAAACTATAAATAAACCTGCCATATGACCTGGCTATCCCACTCCTGGGAATATACTCAAAGGAAATGAAAACTGCCTATGGGAAGGGGATCTGTAATCTTATATTTATAGCAGTGCAATTTACAATAGTAAAGACATGGAAGACAAACCAGATGCCCATCCAAAGTGGAGTGGTTAAAGAAACTGTGATACATCTACTCCATGGAATACTACTCAGCCATTAAAAAGAATGAAATTATACCATTTGCAACTAAATGGTCTCACCTTGAGACCGTTATGCTCAGTGAAATAAATCAATCCCAAAAAGGCAAATGCCATATATTCTCTCTAAGGAAGTCATCATGCAAACTGTAAGATCAGTAACCCTTTCCATACTGTTTTTGCTGCTCCCATGTGTATTAATGTTTTTTGTTTCTTTTTGTTTCTTCCAAATAGTACTTTTCTCCTGTTGAATTCATCATTGGCTCATGGATCACATGGTGGCATCATTTTACCCAAGAGGCTTTTGTGTTGGTTTTTTTTTTATCACCCATGCATTGGTTATACAGTGGTGTGTTTTTTTGATTCCATGATGCTGTAGTTTTTTGTTTTTGTTTTTGTTGTTTTAATTTCATACCTGTTGTTGACTTTATTTCATGGCTTCTCATTTAAGGGAGTGTGTAGTGATGACGTAATATAGACTATCATATTCAGATGTGAAGATAAAATGCAATATGCATCCTTACTTCAAAATCAAAGATAGACTCCCAAAGAAACTGTGGAGCATATCTAGACAATGGGATGCTGGACTGTCTGACATTGTCTGTACCAGCAATGTTAGAACACACTTAAATAACAGACAGATGGAATTATGACTCCTTATCAAGGACTATACTATTGTAATAATATGAGGAAAGTCAGTCAGGGATGGGAATTGGCAGGAACGGAACAGGGAGGGAATCCCAGACCCTATGGAATTGTATCATTAAATTAATTTGTTTTAAAGATGTCCTATATATATAGTAATGTCATTTGTAAATAAGCGCAATTTTACTTTTACTCTTCCCGTTTGAATGATTTTTTTCCCCCTTAATTATTGCTCAGGATAAAACTCCCATTGCCACATTTGCCTAGAAGAATAGTACTCCACCTCCTGTACTACCTTCCATAAAGGCACTGAATCTAGTCCTGGCTGCTCCACTTCCAATCCACTTTCCTATAAATATTCTGGGAAAGCAGTGGAGAATGGTTCTAGGCCTTAGGCTCCCAAACCCATGTTGGGAGACCCAGAAGTGCTTAACTCCCAGCTTTGGACCAGCTTGTCTCTGGCTATTGTGGCTATTTAGGGTAGAAGACCTCTGCCTGTCTTTCTGTCTGTTTCTCTTATACCCCTTTCAAATAAAAATAAATTTTTTAAAATGGTGGAAATGGACAGTCATGTTATTAAGGATATTAGAGGAAGCACTTTCAGCTCTTCAGTATTCAACATCTTGACTGTAGTTTCCCATGGACCACCTCTATTTTGTTGTTATATAGATCTTCTATATTTAATTTGTTGAGAGCTTTTACTCATGAAGTAGGTGATTGCTGAATTTTATTTAATGATTTTTCTGCATTTATTGAAGTGACAGAGTTTCTGCACTTTGTTGAAATGGTTTTTAAACGTTTTTTTGAAAGATATATTTATTTATTTGAAAGGCAGAGTTACAGAGAGGTGGGCACCACAGAGAGATCTCCTATCCACTGTTTCGCTCTCCAAATGACCATAATGGCTGGAGCTGAGCCAGTCCAAAGCCAGGAGCTAGGAGCTTCTTCTGGGTCAAAGTGAGGATTTAGCCATTGAGCTATTGTGCCAGGTCCTGGGTTTATAGCTTTTAAAATGAATATCTGAATCTATCCTTTCTGTAACCTTATTGGACTTATCTGTGACAAAAAGTTTAGGATAAAATCAATTTTAAAATTAAGGTCACTTAACCGTATTTATTTTCATATGGATTTACCACCTTTTTTTTTTTAACTTTGAAATTGTTTCCTTCTAGATCTTAGCATGTATGCCACAGAATCAAAAAGTCAATCTTCAGAGGATAAAGACTTTGAGACAATTGTATCCAGTGAGGTAAAAATCTAGAAACTGTTTTATCTGATATAAAAGCGGGTCTGTGCGCTGAACTTTATGCTAGGCATGTGTTTGCAAGCAATGAATCTCAACTGAACTTGAACTATGGTTATGCAACAAGGTGGAGGAATCCACCATGGGGGGAGGGGTATGGGAGGGGTGGGGGGGATCCCCAGCGCCTATAAAACTGTACTACATAATACAATGTAAGGAACAATAAAAAAAAAAAAAAAAAAAAAAACAAAACAAAAAAAGCGGGTCTGTGAGTGGACACTTGGACTAGTGGTTAAGACACCAATCAAGACATCCACTTTCTGTTTCCTAGTGCCAGGAGAGTGTAAGAGTCAGCATGTGATGATTCTGCCACTCACGTGGGAAGCTGAGCATGAGTTCTCTGCCCCTAACTTCAGTCGGGCACAGTCATGGCCCTTGGTGGCATTTGGAGAGTGAACCAACAGATGAGAGACAGACAAAATTATAACTATCTGATCTTAAATTTTATTTGTAACATTTGCTATTAGTTAGGTTTCTTTTATATGTCTTAATTATGTAAAGTAGTAGTATGAAATAGCTAGTTTTAGTGAGTTCTGGGAAATGAACTCAAGGAACAGATGTGAAAGGGTTGATGCACGGTATTTGGAGCTTTGTGGTCAGCTGTTAGAAATCCACAAAATATGCTTATTCTTGATGTGTCTAGGAAAAATCTCAGGCATTTAAACTAACAGATGTGAGGACTAGTCCCAATTTATTAAAATGTTCCATGTATTTTGAGGAAACTTGAGTTCTTTATTTTCATGTTTAAATTAACTTAGCAAAGCTTTGTTGGTCTAGTTTTAATAATAATTGCTCATATTTAGAAATCCAAATTGCCTATTTTTATAGAATTGATATTTATAATTCTTAAGAGCAAAATAAGTTCTTTTTAAAAGTGTTTAAATATTCAGTATTGCCTAAAGTTATTTTATTCGCCTGTGAAAAATTCATCTTAGTATATGTCAACTTATTATGAATTATGAAATAAAACTTAAAATCTTTATGTTATCTTCCACTTTCTCTAATAAAACTTGCCATTGTGTCTTTAGCCCTTTTATACAGTGACACAGTATTCAGAAGTCTCTAATCCAGAGATCCAACATCTTGGTGATGATCAGGTATGAAAAACTTTGAAGGGTGAATTCACTGTTAGCCAGCAGCTGCTATGGTTTCTTTATCACACTAGTTACAGTTAGCTTTCCCCTGCCTTCATCTGTCCATGGACTCCAGTCTATTATTATTATTATTTGCTGTGTCAGTGTGATTTTCTCTCTCCCACTGTGCTCAAAATATTATCAGTATACTCAAAATACTGGTATGTGAAGGCACAAGATTTGAAGCTATCTCTTCCAAGGGTTAAACCAGATTTTTGTTGTTAGAGTTGCAATTTTCTTTTTTTTTTGCATTGGGAGATGCTCCTCAATACTCTTATAATCTGAGGATTTCTTTTTTCCAGTTCAACAATTTCATAAGTAAACTACCATTCAGAGGCCTAGAAGCTTGAGAAATATCCATGAACTGTCAAAATATATTATCTATAAGTGTTAGCGAAAGCATGCTTGAATTTCTGAGGACTCAACCCAAGTTATCTCTTTTTCTTCATCTATATAGGTTTCCATATGAAATTAACTCAGGTGAAAATACATTTCACTTGCTTTTTCCTTAAGTTATGCATCCATTTCACAAGAAGTTTTTGGTGAATAATGTTTGGAGGAGTAGACAGATTATGAACATTTGATTATTATAATTATGTCACACTATTTAGGGTACAAAATATCTTCAAAACTTCATGGAAAATGCATATCATGAAAAACTGCAAATAGATTTCATGGATTTTTATACCAAATAAACTGGTCTTTCAATTTCTTTTCTTTTTTCTTGGATATGAAAGATAGGTTTGTTTTGTTGGAAAAATTTTTTAATTCATGTATAGATTTTTCATACCATGCATTTCCTGTGAATTTGTTGAAGACACCTTGTATTTGTCTTTATGTATTATATATACTACAAATATGGAAAAAAGATTTTAAACATGTACATTGAATATATTGTAGTTATCTTGGAGAATAATATACCAGTAATACAGAAATTACAGATAGCTTTTAATTTGCTTTTTCTTGCCATATTTCTTTCTTTCCTTCTCATTTTTTATGATGTTTATATAATTGATCAGGATGTAAAGGGTCAAGGATTAAGAGAAAGTGAATAACACTATTGTTTCTAGTTTTCTTTTTCTCCCTCACATATCTGGGGAAAGGAGGGAGATAAAAGGAGATGCCACATTCAGCCTCCCACTTTAGTACCCAGGGATGGGGAAACCTAATATCCCAGGGTCGCCATGTCTCTGTGAGTTCTGCTTATGTGGTTTCAATAGTTCTGAAATGCTGTCAATCTCAGATTCAAGGATGAGGAAATCTTTCTAAGGCCCATTGGCTGATATAGTCTACTTTACAGTCTCCATTCACTCAGATATTTGCTGCCAACACTTGGCTGCAATAGTTGATCAATTTGTTCTGCCCTGCATCCTCTGTTATGGTACCAGATGTTTTCTGAAGGCCCTAGTGTACTGCCATATCCTCATGTGCATCTGGTTATGCCATCTACTGCTCTGTCTTAGCCACTGAGGAGGCCCAGTTTTAAAACATGCACTCCACAGATCCTGTGAGTCTCCCCATGGTTGGAGTCCTGAGTCCAATGGTTCAGTTGAGGGAATCCCCAAAGAAGCTTCATCTGAGGTGATCCCAGATTTGACTGTTGTATATGCTTGATAGTACAGGGTCTGACTCACCCATATCTGCCTATGCACGTGCTGATAGATGCAATTGCTAGGTCATTTCTGTCTCCAGCCCCATCTCTTTTTTTTTTAATTTATTTTTAATTTTGACAATCCTTACAAATTTAATTGGGGTAAAAAAGGTTCAAGGCCTAAAGGGGGATATAGAGGAAGAAGCCCCACCCAGTTTCCCACCCACCCTAAGTCCTGGATGTGGGGCATGCTCTGAGATACTCGATCAAGTGGTTCCAATAGTTCACCATTCATGGGTCGCTGCCAGTCTCGCCACTCTAAGCACGATGTGGTCGTTGAAGAGTCCATTGATTGCCACAGTCCCTTCTAGAGTCTCCATTTGCCCAGTGTTTTGCTGCCAACAGATAGCTGAGGTTGTTGCTTGACTTGTTCTGTCTTTTCTTGGTTAGGACTCTGAGTCCGGTGTCTCAACTAGGGAGATCCTCAAAGAAATTTTGAGATATTCCCAGTCCAGATTCCTGCGTGATCTAGTAAGCATAGGGCCCGGCACAGTCCATTGCCCCAATCAGCTGGTGGTTGCAGTTGCTGGGTCGTTTCTGTCTCCACCCGTGTCCTCTTGCAGTCCGGCCTGGTTCCGCCCTGGACGCACTTGTCCCTCGCACGTACCAGTAGGAGTTGCAGCCCAGTCAGGGCGGCCCACAGTAACCCCAACCAGGCCCACCCCCTACCCTGGCTTGCCAGTATGTATGGCGTACTAGTCCAGTCTGTCCCAAATACCCTTCTGTTCATATACTTGCCAACAGGTGTTGCAACCTACTTCCATCCAACCATCTCCTCCTACCGTCCCTAACGGATGTTGTTGGGTGTCTGTCTAGCCATCCCAGCCCCTGTCCTAGTTCCCATGCCCTCCCGTGGAAGGTGATGACCCACGAGGGAGGACCACGAGGGAGGACACTATTTCCCTCCCAGGTCGCTCCCATTCCAGTTGTGCCCTCTCCAGTTGGCCCTGTGGTTCAACTCAACGTGTCTAACCCTTTGTACCAGCTTCCGCCAGCTGATGCTACAACTAAGCCCCAACAACCCTCACCAACTCTGATTGTAGCTTGCACCAGTGGGAATAGTCAGCCCAGCCTGGTTTTCACCCAATCTGGTCCACATGAGGTGCGCAGGTGCTGTATCCCTGCCTGGTCTGGTCTACCCCCTACCCAGCTCACGCTCCTCAGTGTAAGTTGGTGTTCAGCTAGGGAACCACCCCTTATTCCCCTGTCAGCTCTGCCTCCTCCTTCCCTGGTTCTCACATGTGCTGGTTGGGTGCTGCGGCTGCATCCAGCTCAGGCTACCTCACCTTGGCATTCCAACTTGTGTGTTGCTTTTGTCACGACCGAACCTGGTTCGACCCACACTCTGTTCTGGCGATCAGATTTACCAGTGGATGACATGAACAGATTCATCCTGGTCTGCCCCGACCCATGCCAAATGCATGCCAATGGGACACTTTCTATGACCTCTTGGCTGTTACCTTCCATGTTCCTTGCGCTGACCTGCAGGGTCTGAGTCCTGCCAGAGGAGTTGCCTGAGCTCCTCCATCCGAACCCCTCCATGTGCCAGGTTTCGCGCATACCAGTGGGTCCATGTGCCAGTTCGCCTCCTGTCCTAGCAGGAACAGTGGCCTTTCCTAACTGGCCATCATCCCGTTCTGGTTCTTGCTGTAGAGTGTTTCAGCCCAGCCATGGTCGTCCATGCCCCCATATAGCTTGTATATGGCTCAGTTGAGGTTGGGACCTAGCCTAGTCCGTCCCACATCCACCCTGGTACTCCTAAGCACCAGAAGGTGTTACGGTCTGGCCTGGCCCGGTACGTCTTTTTCCAGTCCACACTTGTGCCAAGGGAGACGACAACTGTATCCAGATCCTGCCGCAGCCACATCCACCTGTCACGACCCCTGCCTTAGATACCGCGGCTCAACTCTGTGCTTAATGTGGACCAGTTGGAGCCAAAACCATGCTGGGCATGTCCTGAGCTGAACCCTGTGTTCCAATCATGTTTGTGTACTAAGGTTTGCTTAGTCCGAACATTCAGTTCTCAGTCCCACACTTACATTAAGGTTTCATGTCCCGGTTCCTGGGAATCACCAGAAATTAGTGTCTCACCTACGCTAACGCTGGTCTTACTTTTGGGTGTCCCAAAGCAGCTATTTCATATCATCAAAAAACCCAGAGCTCACCGCTGGGTGGCCAGCAGGCAGAGCCTGGCACCACTTGGTGCACTGGCCACCCAAGGCCAGGGTCTCTGCCCCCGCCAGTCTTGCGGCGGGGACTGTGGCCGAGACCCCAGCAGGGTTCCGTCCGGCAGAGGCGCCCCCGACAAGTGCCACCTTGATGGGGGGTTGAGCCTGCCTCTTGTCCTGAGACTATGGCTATGGCTGGTGGGGACAGGGGAGAGCCAGGAATTTACCCCCAGCTTCCAGCCATCCCCTGTGGGTACTCACCCACGAGGGGGCTTTAGGTGCTCCTGGGCCAGGAGAAGGCCTGGGTCTCTGCCCCCGCCAGTCTTGCGACGGGGGCTGTGACCAGCCCCATCTCTTAGGTAAACCAACGCATGCTGTAACCCAGACCAACCTGGCCCACCACAGACTCAACCTTCACATACAGCAAGAGGAACAACAACCTAGTTGGAGTGACCTCCAATAACCCCCACTAGGCCTGCGCCCATCCCCAGTTTCTGTGCTTGTCAATATGTGCAGCATTCTGGTCCAAGTCTGTTTCACATCCCTTTCAGTTCTCGTACACTTCAATGGGTATTGAAGCCTAGCTCACCCCAACCAACCCCACTATATAGCCTACACTCATGCCAGTGAGTGCTGCTCACCAGTGGGAGTTGCAACCCATCAGAGAGGTGCCCACAGTTTCCCTACTGGGCCCACTCCCAGGTCCAGATCTTGCACTCTCCAGGTGGTTTTGCAATCTAGCTTGGCAGGATTTTCCCCCAGTCCCAATGCTTGCCAACCAATGCTGCAGCAAAGCCCAACCAGCCTGCGCCTACTCTGGCTCATGCATGCACCAGTGGGTATAGTTGGTTGGTTCAGCCTGGCTTTTCTCCCAACCCAATCCACATGCAAATAGGCATTGTAGCCCTGCCCGGCCTAGCTGCCCCCACCTTCCTATCGCCCCTGTCACAGTTCTCACACTTGCCAATGGGAGCAGCTGGGGGGTCTGTACTGCCTCCCTATCAGGCTCGCACTTCTCCCCCAGGTCTCATGTGCACTGGTTGGTGCTACAGCTTGGCATGCCTCAATTCAGCATTTGCCAGTGGGTGCTTTAGCCTGGCACATCTCGGTCTGTGCCTGAGCTCATGCTGGTGGGTTCTGCAACCTAGTCCAGCCCAGCCAGTCCCCAGTCCCAGCCCTAATGTGAACTGGCTGGTGTTGCAGCCCAAAATGACCTGTCCTACATCCTGTCTTGGTTCTCAGATCTGCCAGTGGGCATTATGAACTGGGCCAACCTGACCTATCCTCAGACCCAACCTACTCATATGCTGCCGGATATTGTAACTCAGCCTGGTCTGGGCTGCTTCCAGGCTTGGTTCTTGCACTCATCTGCAAGGACTACATCCTCACAGAGTAGTTCCTCAAGCTCCTCTATCAGGTCTCCTTCCAGTAGTGGATCTTGAGCACACCGGTAGGTCCTTGGCCCAGACTTAGTCCACCTCCTATCCTGGTGGGAACAGAGGCCTTGCCCTCTGGCCCACACCATTCCAGTTCTTACTGTTGAGTGATACAGCCCAGCCACACATGGTCCATGCCCAGACACCTCACATGGTTCAGTGTGAGCCAAGACCTAGTCTAGTCCATCCTACACCTACCCTGACTCTGACCACTCCAGTAGGTGCCGGAGTCTAGCCCAGTGTGGCATACCCCAGACCCAGTGCACACCCATGCCAAGGGACACTGAAGCCATGTCCAGCCCAGATCACCACCCCTCTCTGGCTCTCTTGCTTACCAGTGGGAACCACAACCCAGCTGAGGCATCTCCCTGTCTCCCCAACCAGACCTGTTCCCAGCCACAGATCTTGCACATGCCAGTGGTTGTTGTGGCCCAGCTCAGCACAGCCCATCCCCTGTCTTGGCCCATGCCATCAAATGCTTCAACCTGATCTGTCCCAGCCTGCCCCCTGGTCCCAACCCTCACTGGCGGGTATTGCATCCTAACCTTGCTCAGTCTGCTGCCTTCCCTGGCTCACACAAACCAGCAGTTGTGATAGCCTAGCTTGCCATGACACACTCCAGCTTGGCTCCTGCACATGCCAGTGTACTTAGGTTTAGCCTTGCACTGCACAGTCCACTCACCTCTAGAACCACTTTAGACATTTGCTGACAGGTGGAATTGCCTTGCCTGGCCTGACCAACACTCAGGCCTGAATCCCATGCTCACCAGTGGGAGCAGTGGCATAACAGAGGAGTTTCCCAAGTTCCTGCTCCAAGTCCACGCACAGACCCAAATCACACACATGCCAATGGATGTTAAGCCCTTACTTGGCATAGCCTCCACTGCATTCCAGCCTATGTATGAACTGGTGGATGTTGCGGCCTGGGCCGTACCACAACCCATCCTTGGGTGTGCCTGTGGGTGCTGCAACCTGGACCAGCACAGCCGGATCCCAACCCCAGTACCCATGAGTGTTGGAAGGTTCCATGGACGCATGCCTAGCTCAGCCTGTCACTAGCTCCAGCTTTTAAGCAAATCAGCAGAGATTGCAGTTCCCTGTGGGTGGGCCCATATAGCCCCCATGGAATCTGCCCCCAGACCTTATTATGACCCCTCAGTTCTCAGTTCCTTTTTCTGTGAGCTTTTTAAAGCTTTTTAAATGAAAATGGTGGGAACTCCAATCTGGAAAATGCTAAATCAAGGGACAATACAAACTGAGCTACTGTCACAGATTCATATACAGGTCATGAATGCAATACCCTCCATGTTAACAGCAACCACCTACATTTAGTTATGGAATTTAGTGGCTTAATACACTCTTAAATCATATGGAAAATATGCCTGTTGAAATATCTCCTTGTTGTACTTCAGATTACTAATGTATATGAAGAAAACTGCCTGTCAGAAAAAGAGGAAACAAAACCACAGAAAAAAACAAGAATATGTCCCTGTTGTCCTCCACAAGGAAGATTGAATAAAATTATTACAAATGGTATGTGAAATAGCATATTTATATGGAGCTGTATATGGACAAAATAGTCTCTTGAGTTTTTCAAAATCACAAGTAACAATCCTTAAAATATTTTAGCCTTTTTCATGCCTTTTTATGTTAAATGTTTGAGATTAGAAGCAGCATAAATTATAAAGATTTTTATTGCAGCCCACTCTGACACTTACTTTTTTTTTTTTAAAGATTTATTTTTATTATTTTTTCATTGGAAAGGCGGATATACAGAGAGGAGAGACAGAGAGGAAGATCTTCCGTCCGATGATTCACTCCCCAAGTGAGCGCAACGGGCCGATACTATGCCGGTCCGAAGCCAGGAGCCTCTTCCGGGTCTCCCACGCGGGTGCAGGGTCCCAAAGCTTTGGGCCGTCCTCGACTGCTTTCCCAGGCCACAGGCAGGGAGCTGGAAGGGAAGCGGGGCTGCCGGGATTAGAACCGGCGCCCATATGGGATCCCGGGCGTGCAAGGCAAGGACCTTTAACCACTTGCGCCACCACGCCGGGCCCTCTGACACTTACTTTTAAGTTAATTAGGAAGAACATTATCCACCTGATCATATGAAAGCTCTTTTAAAATTAGGCCTCAAGTTTTAAAGCCTTTCATTGTCACTAAACTTTTTGACATTTTCTTTTTTTAGAAATAATTGTTGTATTTGATTAAACTTAAGAAAGTAAAGAGATTTTTGACCTCCAGAAGTTTCAAGCCTATAGAGAAAAAAAGCTAACTATGATGAAGGAAGTAACAAGTTTTCTAAAAAAGAAAATGTATAGTTATATTTTAAATACATTTTATCAATTTATTCTTGCCAACTTCAATTCTGACAGCTAGTTTTATTCATTAACTTTTCAACAATAAAGGCTACTTTTTAGTTAATGTGAAATACTATTTTGAGGGACCAGCATTGTGACATAGTAGATAAAGCCACTGCCTGTGATGCCAACATCTCATGTTGGGTGCAGGTTGATCGCCCAAGTGTTTGGACCCCTGCTACCCACATGGGAGATCTAGATGAAGCTTCTAGCTCCTGGATCTAGATTTTAGCCTGGCCCGGCACTGGCCATTGTGGCCATCTTGGCTGGGAGGTGAATGGACAAACTGAAGATGTCTCCTTGTCTCTCCCTTCTTTCCACTTTTCCTCCCTCCCTCTCATTTTCCTCTCCTTTGCTCCCCCTCTCCCTTTCTTTCTCCCTCTCTCACCTGTCCCTCTCTTCTTCTCTTCCTTTTCCCTGTAATTCTTCCAAATAACTAAATAAATTTTTTTTTAAAAAATACTATTTTGAAGGCCCTCAGTCATACTTTTCTGTGAACTCAACGGTTCTCATCTTCCATGAAAGGTTAGATTTCTTTGTAAAAAGACTTTCTGCATTTGGGTTTTACATGTATGTTCTCTTGTTCCTGTCTACTTAGTGGGTGGTTTCTGTAGAGGAGTTGTCAGGAGTAGGGCTAGAGCCTGTGGGTGAGGAAGATATGTATTGGTCACAAAAACTTTTCCCCTAACGTCCAGCTGACTGACATTCAGAAAATAAATGAGAAGTTACAGGACATCAGTTTTAAAACTTTGCTTGTTTCCCCTTTTGTTTTCTTTCATTTTCAATTTTGCAATTTTGGAGAAACTTATTGGAAATGGAGATTTTCGTATCTTTCATATTTGATTCAGGAGGTTTTGTGTCTTTCATACACACAACCTGTGCTCACACTGGCTCATGTATATGCAAGTATAGAATTTTAATCTATAGACATGCTTAGAACATGTCACTGTTAGGAACCCCACTCTGTTCATCTTGGAATAAGTGATGTATAACTGCCTTTAAGTAAAATTAAACAAAGACATTCCCGTAAAATGAAGTAGCACTTTAGTTTTCTCTGTTATGAGTACTGTTCACCATTACCACTCTAAATACAATTTTGAATTAGAAATCTTAACTTTCACCTGCACACAACAATCAGTCTCTCAACACATTTTTTTTTAAGATTTTTATTTTATTTTTATTGGAAAGTCAGACATAGAGAGAGGAGGAGAGAGAGGAGGAAGATGTTCCATCCATTGATTCACTCCCCAAGCAGCAGCAATGGCCAGAGCCAAGCCAGTCCGAAGCCAGGAGCCAGGAGCAGGAGCCTCTTCCAGGCCTCCCACACGGGTGCAAAGTCCCAAGGCTTTGGGCCATCCTAGACTACTTTCCCAGACCACAAACAGGAAGCTGGAAGAGAAACAGGGCCACCAGGATTAGAACTGGCACCCATATGGGATCCCAGTATGTGCAAGGCTAGGACTTTAGCTGCTAGGCTACCACACTGGGTCCCTCTCAACACATTTGATTATATTATGTCTATGTCTAAGTTGGGGAATGGCATGCCTAGTTAGAAAGAAAAGGATGGTAGAGTAAGATTTTAAGCCATTATTCCTATTATTTTAGGATTCTAAAATCATATTCTAGAGACTTCTGGTTTCTGGTTCTACATATAAGAACTCAGAAGATGTTACCTGTTCAACAACAAAGGCTGGAAATGGAACACTTCTTAATCCTTAAGAGAAACTTCTATTAGGGCAAAAGACACTCCTAAAACTTGGAAAACAGGTGGGTGGACACAGAGACTCCTCAGGGACAGGATCAAAAACTCCTGTGGGAGTGAATGACTGAGTAGGAAAATCTGAGTTGTAATGTACAAGTAAGCTAAAGCTCTATACGAACAAATCTGAGAACTGGAAAACTACAGAGGAGAGCCTGTTTCGGGCTGGAAGAGGTCCACACTTTCGTGTTTTAACCCCTGCAGCCAACCAGCAGAAGGAGAGCAACAGTCACTGTGAAAGCACAGTGATCTGTGCTTCACAAGGTCATCTCTGAAGAGGGTCTAACTTATAAAGATTTTTATCAGAACCTGACCAGCCTAGGAGAAGGGAAATACCTAACTCCAGTCCCCCTCTAGTCTTCCATATGGGAGTAGAGAATCACGTCTAGCCTGCTCTGACCATCCTTTACCACCCTATATACCACTGTGCAGTGGCTATGCGTTTCACATACATGTGGCACAGACCTATTCAAGGGCTGTAGAATATCCCTCTACCCTTCTTCACTAAAGCCACATTACTAAAAGTCTATTTAGCAAAGTCCATTTTACTCAATGTGTTATGTCACTATTCAATTAAACTTTAAAAGATAAATTAAAAAAGGAAAACTCACATGTCAGGGGTGTTAGATTGATCACAGTGTGCATGTTGAAATTGTCACATTATATTTGATATGCTAAGCCATCAAAAGTAGACAATATATGAAGCTATACTGGTATTATGCATAGAGAGAAGTTATAGGATGAAAAATACTAAAAGTAAAAAACATAGAAATGACAGATGTATTTGGATTCCATTAATGGAAGGTAGGCAGCTGAAAATGTCTCAAGATTAAGAGTAAATCAAAAGCAACTCCCAGACAGGAACAGCAATGAGAGAGAAAAAAAAAAGATGAGAAATTAATAAAAATATCCAAAAACTGTGAGACAGCTACAAAAAGTAGAACATACATGAACTGGGAAAACCTGAAGAAGAAAAACAGAAATAAACCTCAAGTATTTTTTGAGGTAATACTGATTAAATTAATGTCAGATACCACATCAGAAGTTCAGGAACTCAAAAACACACCCAGTAGGATAAATATAAAACAAATAAATCAATATCTACTTGTAGGAATACACTACTCAAACTTTTAAAATCAGATATATGTCCTAGCAAAACAAAAACCAAGATCTAATTATAGGTTATTGAATTACACATTAAGAAAAGGAATGGTGAAAGATATGCTATTCTAATATTAATACAAAAATGTAAAATGGTTATGTTAATTTCAGATAGAATATATTTTTGAGCCTTGAAAGTTACCAGGGATTAGGAGCATCATTATAGGGGCCAGTATGGTGATACAGCAAGCTAAGCCTCTACCTGTAATGCCAGTACGGTTGTCAGTTCAAGTCCCAGCCGCTCCATTTCTGATACAGCTTCCTACTTATGACCTGAGAAACAAACAGAGGCTGGTCCAAGCCTTTGGACCCCTTCACCCACCTAGGAGGCCTAAAGAAGCTCCTGACTCTTGGCTTTAGACCATTCTAGCTCAGGCCATTGCAACCATTTGAGGAATGAACCAACAGATAAAAGGTCTTTCTCTGTGTGTGTGTCTCTGTAGCACTGCCTTTCCAATGAAAATAAGTATTTAAAAAAAACTCTGCTTTCCAAGTTGGAAACTTCAATCTCTGACATAATAGATTTTGCTGACAGTTTCAGTAAAAACGTGGTTGATCTCAGCAGCCCCATCAGTCATCTGGATACCATTGACATTTATAGAATACTTCATCCAACAATAGCCAAATACAGATTCTTCCAAGCTCACATAAAACATTCACCAAGCTAGACCATATTCTGAATCAATAAATGCCTCTGGACAAATTTAAAATAGAAATCACAAATGTGAACTCTGAAATGATGAGTAGTTTAAATGAGAAATTAATAACAAAGTCTGAAAAGTACCATAATAGGGATTGGCATTGTGGCATAGTGGGTAAAGCTGCCTCCTGCAATGCTGGCTTCCTGTTTGGGTGCCAGTTTTAATCCTGGATGTGCCATCTCTGATCAAGTTTTCTGTTTAATGCCTGGTAAAAGCATTGGGAGATGCCTCAAGTTCTTGGGTCCCTGCCACCACATGGGAGCCCTGAATGAAGCTCCTGGCTCCTGCTTTGGCCTGTCCCAACCCTGGCTTTTAAGGCCATCTGGAGAATGAACCAGCAGAATAAAAATATCTCTATTTCTCTCTCTCTCTCTTTCTCACTGAATACATCTTTTTTTTTAAAAAAAAAAGTAATGTACTGGGCCCGGCACAGTAGTCTAGTGCCTAAAGTCTTCACCTTGCACACACAGGGATCCTATATAGGTGCCAGTTCTAATCCCAGTGGTCCCACTTACCATCCAGCTCCCTGCATGTGGTCTGGGAAAGTGTTGAGGA